CAAAGAAAAATACTATAATATTGTGTCTACTGCTTAAAAACGTTGGTAAACAGACATCTGAAACTGTAATCTGATACTATTCTGTATAAATGTGGATAAGTCTTTCTTTACCACCCTCTTTCATTGCAGTGGGCAGACTAAGGGGCTGTGATGGGGAAAACTAAATTTGTTCTCAAAGGAATCACAGAGCGTCTAGAGCTTTGAGTCCTCCTGTTCCTGGTGTTCTTACTGATTTATGCCATCACCATGGTAGGCAACTTGGGATTGATTTTTCTCATCTGGAAGGACTCCCATCTTCACACACCCATGTCTTATTTCCTTAGCAGTTTGGTCTTTGCAGATGCCTGCACTTCATCTTCAGTGACTACCAGGATGCTTGTCAACATCTTATGTAATGGGGAGATCATATCCCTCATTCAATGCTTGGTTCCAGTGCAACCACAGAATGTTTTCTCCTGGTACTGACGGCCTATGATCACTATATTGCCATCTGTAACCTTTTGCTCTATCCAGTGGTGATGTTCAACAGACGCTGCACTTGGTTGATCAGTGTGTCCTATTTGATTGGTTTTATGTATCCCTTAATTTATGTTGGATTATTATTTAGACTCATGTTCTGCAACTCCAATGTCATAGACCATTTCTACTGTGAAATCTTACCACTCTACACCATTTCTTGCACTGACCCCTCTCTCAATGCCTCAGTGGTTTTTATTCTTTCAGCGTGTATACAAGCTATTACTTTCATGAGTATCATCATCTCCTATACCCGGGTCCTCCTTGCGATTATGAGAAAGAAGTCTGAGAAGGGTGAAAGCAAAGCCTTCTCCCCATGTGGTGCCCACCTACTCTCTGTCTCTTCATTCTACGGCACTCTGTTCTTCATGTATGTGTGCCCTGGGACTGGGCCAGATAAATATCAGGATAAAGTGTACTCCCTGTTCTATGCCATTATAATTCCTCTGTTCAACTCCTTTATTTACAGCCTAAGAAACAAAGAAGTTTTAGGCGCATTGAGGAAAGTGACAAAAAAGTAAACAAGCAAATAAATGAATATTTTTTCCAGAAAACTTAATTTATTATTTCCATTTCACTTTTGGCTTAAATAAATTACTATATAACCCTGCATGATAAATAATAAGAATACTTGTTGCTGAATTAAATACAGAATGTTAGGGTAGATGTGCTTGTCTTGAATATAAATTGTTATTGTCATCAGTTGCATAATCTACTCTAAACACTGACACCAAACACATTTTGTTTTAAATCATACTTAAAGTAGAAACTGAAACTGTAACAATTATATTATTAGGCCTTTATTTTGTGAATAAATGTTGTGCTTTCAGATATTTGCATTTTGAAATTTATTTGAATTTATATTATTTTAAATCCTTCGTTAAAGTCAACATGAAGAGGAGAAGGGCAAGGGAGAGTGTAGTCATAAAACCCCCAGGACTGACACCAAAAAAAAAAAAATTCGAAGTATATCCTACAAAATTAAGAAAACTGAGCAAAGGGAAGTGGTTGGGAGGATGGGAATGAGTGATAAAACAGGTGACATTGATCTAGATGCATTGCGTTGAATGGCAACACCTTTGTACAACTACTTAAAGACAATAACAAGACAGTATTTATGTCCTCTTATATAGTTGTGTAGGAAGGTATTTTCTAAGCTCTACATCATCAATGAATAAATAATATATCGAACAAAATAATTTTGAAGTAATTGCAATGTGTGGAGCTCATCAAGCCAAATCTCAAGACTGGGCAGGGTTGCTTAAGTTTGTTTAGGGCTTAGTTTCTACACAGTCTTCTAAGTGTGCCTGTGCTGTGCTCCAAATGTCTGGACTCCACTCTAAGCAATGCATTCCTTTGTCATTACGGAACACTGCATATTCATAAAATGTTTTCCTTATAAGGTAGTGTATTCTTTATTTCTCAGAATCAAATTTAGATGGCATTGAAAGACTCTTTAAGTAATGTATCTTTGCACTTTTCTTGTAATTAGTTTAGAAGGCTTTTGCTTTCAAAATAAAGAAAACTGATGTAAAAATAATCCTCACAATAGACTTGTCATTAATTACTGGCTTGTGAGTCCACAATGCCCAGTAGACTGGCTTTGCCCTGTAGGGAGTCTCATAGAAGCATTGAGGGAGTTCCAATATTCATGTCACAAACAGGGCTTAAGACGGAGAGAAACAAATACCATTCCCTTCAAACTGCTTTGAAAGAAAATGAAAATGTGAAGAATGATGGTCTCTAGTACCTTCCTTTGGCAGTCTCCATGAAGATTTAAGTCTATGACATCCATGCTCAAACATCTTATAGGAATTGGGTGAGAATGCAGTATTTTACTGGATTACCATTATGGAGTATAAAATTAAATCATTTTGTTACTAGGACTTTGCCATTTTTGACCATATGGAATAAAAAACAGTCATGAAATCAAAATGCTAAATAAAACTAATGTCCAATTCCTATTAATTCTTACAGATATATAGCTACATGTTTGTAAAACAAAGTTTTGAACTCAGTTATATGATTGTTTACTAGACTCTGTAAATGACTATGTATTTCACACTACATATTAATAGGAGTGAAGAATGCTAATCTCATGGATAATTGGTAGAAATGCAGCATGGAAAATCACATATCAATGAGAATTATTTAGTGAAATTCATACTCTGTTTTATACACTTGATCACCAACTAACTCTGAATTTTTTAACGAAATGTTTAATTGCTGGACACTGGTGAATCACACCTGTAATCCTAGGTATTCAGGAGTCAGAGATCTGAGGATTGGGGTTCGAAGCCAGCCCAGGCAGGAAAGTCCGTGAGTCTTTTATCTCCAATAAACTACTCAGAAAAAGCCTAAAGTGGCATTATTGCTCAAGTGGTATAGTGCTAGCCTTGAGCACAAAGAGGCTCAGGGACGGACACAGGCCCTGAATTCAAGCCCCAGGACCCACAAAACACAAATAAATTAATTCTTAATTAAGAAGGATTCAATTTAGAAGGATTAATCTAATTATGACATCAGTGTCCTTAAATGTCAAAATAGTTTTTACTTTGGCAATGTTCTACAGGGGTGAAGATTTTCCAGTACCTGCAGATCATGAAGACATATGGTATATCAACGAAGCCTCTGCTTCTCATCTGCTTCTTGCTTTAGACAGAGTTCCTCAAAATAGCAAAGTGACAGAGTTCACTACAGCTGCACAGTGGATTTTATCATTGCCTTCTTAGCTACAAAATAAGGATCTGCTAATATTTTCTGGAGAATTGACTGTTTTCATGTTTGTCAAAGACTGTTGCAAGCTTTATCAGTTCTTCTGGCACTGTAGTTTATATCCAAAGAAAAATTGCAAAATTGTTTTCCTTGGTGTTGACATTCTTCATACAGTTGGAAAAAAAACTTTTCCACAGAATAGATTATCTAGTGAAGGACAAACACCGTTTGTCTGTTTTCGCTCTAAAATATTCCAGTATTTAACTGTTAATATTATTCTTTCAGAAGTACATTTATTTTCAGTAAATCTTTACATGATCCATGCTGTTCTTTGGGTAGACATCTCTGGATAATGTTTGTCTGACCTTCATGGTCTTTGATGTAAAAATCATCCTTTAAGTCTATAAAAATTGGTGAGTGTAATTAAAAAAAATTGGTGAGTGTTACAGAAGTGACAGGGTGCGTTGCTGTCATGTGCATCTGTGTAGTCTTGTCACGTGAACCTGGAAGTTGTGAATGTAGGACTTGTCTCTTCAACAAGGGACCAAGTCAAATGCAGGTGCTATTACAACGTCAAGAACAAAACAATGAAGTGAAAATATTTCACTCAATGATTATACACTTAGGGCTTATGTTTCTACCTAGGAACTTCCTAGTTTAGATCACCAAGGCATGGCTCTGGATGGAACACTATGAAGGTGTTGCACTAGGGTTTTGATGGTCTGGATACTCCTGGATTTCCACAGGATTTATTCTCACTGACTGTCCAGGCCTGTTGAACTCATGGATACACTTTTAGCTTGAGTCTTCTTTTTACCTTTTTTCTCATTCTCACCTATATTTACAGGCAGAAATAAAAATTGATTCCAATATATTTGGAGACATGCAGAAATGTAGTGTTTTAAGACATACTCATTGAACTGGATAATTTTTTTTACATTGACATATTTAATGATAACTGTACAGCCTAAATTTAATATGTAAACAAGCCATTAGAATAGGTGGGTGGATATGTTTTCTTATAAATTGAGATTATTTTTAATAGCATGCCTATATTATCTGATCTACAGTTTCTTTGTGACTAAACTACAAATAGAATAGTGTTCTATCTTAGAACTTACAAAGTTATGACTTAAGTAAAAGAAGGAATATTGTTTTCAAATATGTTGTTAAGAAAGATTCAAGAAAGTATTCAAAGGATGTGTGTTTTCATGAGTTTTAAAACAACTCGAATTTTGAGGAAGAGAAGTAAAACAATAAATTACTGTCTTATTACTTGATTTACAATATATTAGCAAGAAAGAATTATGTCTATCAACAATAGGAAATATATGAGCGACTTGTTTTAGTCTATAAAGTATGACCAAGTGCTTGAGAAATGGAAATAAAAGTCTTTGGATTGGTCTTGCTTTAAGAGATTTGGGTCTGAAAAACATGTTTCAAAAATTTTGAATTAGGTGTGAAATATCTCTTTAATATGTAATTTGCATTGATTTTTGCATTCTAACTTATACAACCATGTATATTGATATCTAGAGCTACCTCATTCATCTTTCAAGTAATTATTTTAAGACAAAAGTTCTTTAAAATTATCTATGGTATCTCCAAGTTTTAGATGTTTGTCAAAGAACAAAATGACATCTTTCTATCTTTAGATTAATGAGAATCTGAAATGTAAGTACCACAGTGCAATCCCAGAAGTCTTTGCATGACAACTGGTGATTTTTCTGACCCCTCTCTCATTGCAGAGAGCAGTCTGAGGGGACATCATGGAGGCGAACCAGACTCTGGTGACTGAGTTTTTCCTCAAAGGAGTAACGGAGCGTCCAGAGCTGCGAGTTCCTCTGTTCCTGGTCTTCTTCTTCATTTATGTCATCACCATGGTGGGCAACCTAGGATTGATGTTGCTCATCTGGAAGGACTCCCATCTCCACACACCCATGTACTATTTCCTTGGGAGTCTGGCCTTTGCAGATGCCTGCACCTCATCTTCTGTGACCCCCAAAATGCTTATGAATCTTTTAACAAGGAATCACATGATCTCCAGGTTGGAGTGTTTCTTTCAATATTACTTTTTTTGTTACAGTGCAACCTCAGAGGTATTACTCCTGATGATGATGGCCTATGACCGGTATGTGGCCATCTGTAACCCTTTGCTCTACCTAGTGGTGATGTCCAACAGACGCTGCACCTGGATGATCAGTGTATGCTATGCCATTGGTTTCCTGCACCCTTTAATTCATGTTGGATTATTATTCAGACTAACTTTCTGCAAGTCCAATGTAATAGACCATTTTTACTGTGAAATCTTGCCACTGTATACAATTTCTTGCACTGATCCATCTATTAATGCGCTAGTAATTTTTGTATTTGCCACTGTTATACAAGAAATTTCTTTCATTAGTATCATTATCTCTTATACACGTGTCCTGTTTGCCATCCTGAAAAAGAGATCTGAGAGTGGCAGAAGCAAAGCCTTCTCCACATGCAGTGCCCACCTGCTGTCTGTGACTTTGTTCTTTGGCACTCTCTTCTTCATGTATGTGCGCCCTGGGACTGGCCCTGATAAGTATCAGGATAAAATGTACTCTCTGTTCTACACTATCATAATCCCTCTGCTGAATCCTTTTATTTACAGTTTAAGAAACAAAGAAGTTTTAGGTGCACTCAGTAAAGTAATGAAATAACTGTTCCAGAAACCTTCCCAGGCTCTATTTTCTTTCTTTCATAATATATTTTAATGAATTGTCTTGTATTTTGCACATGAAAGTGTGTTAATCTCTCCTTGTCAAGCAGAGTTTCATTTATTAGTTTAACCTACTCTTCTTGAGATGTAGAGACCCTTATTCCCATGCTGTCTGCTTTCTCACTAATTTAACAGTTTGAGCCCGTAATCCCAGCAGTCAGGAGGCTGGGGCAGGATTGGGAACTGGCATCCAGCCTGGGTGCCAAGACTGTCTCAAAACAAAATAAGCCAAATGAAAGAACCCCCCCCCCAACAAAAGTCATTAGTTACTTCAACAAACCCCAGATCTTCTGTTTTCTTTTGTGGGCATGGACACACAAGAGTGCCTGAATTGAAAGAGTTTGTATGCTGTTATATGAGGTATAAGTTTGTTCTAGTTGTAGTTATCTTTGTGATAATTTATTACATTCATCAAAATAATGAATAAACACATCAAGAAAAGAACTCCCATATTTGTTATTTGTCATTTGAATTTTAATGAAATCGTGAAATTAAAATTAGTAAATTAGTTGTTTAATCGCAAACATATTTTATAGCACTTCAAGTGTATATTCCCTAAAATGTAAAATTAATACATAAATATATTGCTTAAATATATTTATTTAGTAAATATTGGATAAATGTTATAGTTATTAAGTACTTATTTTATATTAAGTATATATTAAATATATTTGATACCTAAGAAATACATATTTAATAAACATTTTATTATTTATTTAAATAATGTCTGAATATTTTAGTCAGTATGTATAAACATAAACCCCTTTTGGAAATATAATAATGCTGCTAAACCAAATATAATTACACATGCTGTCCTAATACACTTAAAATAAATATTTCTATGAGAATGAAGAGTACTTTTCAAGTGTAAAATTAGTGCATTTATCAAGCGACTCCTATGTACAACTACTTAACGATGCTAATTTTTTTCCCCAGTTGTGAGGCTTGAACTCAGGGCTAGAGTTCAGTCCCTGAGCGATTTTTACTCAAGGCCAGTGTTCTACCACGTTGAGCCACAGTGCAATTTCCAAAGATACTAATTTTTAAAACTTAAAAAAAGTTACTATATAGACTTTGTCCTTGACACCCTTTATTATCTCAAGAAAGACCAACACTTCATTGCAGCATGACTTTAAAAATAAAGAATTACACCTGTGGGCTTTTTTTTCTATATCCTGCCTCACTACTTACTATTGCAGTGACTTTTCTTATGCTTTAGTCATACTTACACACTTTATATTTCTATATTCTTTGTATTTCTATATTCTTGGTCACTTGCTCCTTCTTATTTGTCCCCTTCAAACAGTACCACAAGCATAATCATGTCATACACATATACATATATTTGTATGTATACGTGTATAAGTTTGTATGCGTATTGATATGAAAATAGCTAACATGCATTTTTGTCTAGATTCTACATATGAGAGAAAAAATATGTCCTTTGAAATAGAAAGACTTGGAAAAATTATAGTAAGTGAAGTAAGACAGGCCCAAAGAAACATAGGTCCCATGGTTTCCCTTATCTACAATAACTAGGATATGTCTGAGACAAGCAGAAAGTCAGATAAGTTGATGTTAGGTGAAATGAACCCCAAGATAAGTATTCAAATGTTTTTTCTTTCATGCGATTGTTTCTAACATATTTATAAGATGATTTCTTTGTTGCTTTGTATGTCCCTCCCTTATAGTATAACCCCTGCTTTCATTGCATTTGATGTTGGTATAATTTTGTGGAGGGGAAGGAAAAAAATAAATCATTTAAATAGGGACACAGGTGGACCCATTGCAACAAGGAGATGTACAAGTCGTTATGTCGACAAACAAACTTTACAACTTTGGCCAGGGGGTTGGGGGGTTGGGATATGGGAAGGGATGGGAAGGGGAAACAAAGGAGGAGGCAACAATGCTTGATAAGAAATGTACTCATTACCTTGCCCATGTAATTGTAACCCCTCTGTAAGGTATTTTCACAACAAAAAAAATGACCTTTGTCCTTCTGAAACCAGTTTATTGGCATAATTTCCGTCTATTTTTCTTCCAAAATACTTGTTTTTAATTCTTTCTGGCAGACGAATGTTGTGTGGTTAAGAACAAATATTTAGTAAAAACATTATCCCCCCATAGATAGTCTGTTGTTTGTCTACATCTATAGTTTTAAGAAATAAAACAGTACTAATTTGCACATGACTTACCAAATAGAGAATTTCTTCTGTATGTTTTTTTCCCTATCTTTTCCCAAAATAGGTAACCATGAATTCTTATGTTATCTTCATATATAGACACATTGCATTTCAATATACTGCCTTATCCCATTCTTTTCCTCTCACCACTTCCTTATCCCTTTTAAAACCACCCTATATTCACAAACACATATTATATATATATATATATATATATGTAGGTGTGCATGATATTCTTTTATCTTTCATAAGTTGAAGGGCGTCAAGGCTGATTCCTCAGCTTGGTTAATTGTGGTAGTGTCTGCTGCACAAATCATGGGTGTATAAGTCTAGTAGACTTTCTGGCCCTGTCATCTTCCAGGTCTCAGTCTCCTGAGTAGTTATTATAGATCTGCTTAACAATATAGTTCCAAGGAGAAAATGTTTTTTAGTGGTAGTATAGGGAAAGACTTTAATTTTTGATTGAGTATATTGTTTCTGAGGTAATTCTGTGATTTGCTAATGAAAAATTAATCTGATTAGATAATATAATTATGGCACCCTTAGAAAAACAAGACAAATGGCTACAGGCTGATCTGAACTGTGTTCAATGATGGTTTGTAAACAAGTCCCTGGGAACCCTGAGGACATAAGTGTATTTTCTATCATTATATCTTGTACAGATGATTTAATGATTAGTTCATAATGCCCAGTAGAACAACACTGTTTTACTCCTACTGGGAATCCTCTGGAAACTTAAGATAAAAATTCCAAAATGCTTTGAAGAATTGATTTGTAGCAGAAGAAAGAAATGCTGCTTCCTTTAACTTGGAGTTTTGGAGAAATTGGTATGCAAATAACACTGATTCTTTCTATGCCATTTATAGAAAATAAGCACATTTCTAGTTTCCAGTAAGTTTTAGTCATTGGATGAAAGTATGAAGCTTTTCATAATTGTTATTATACCCTTGCCATGTATGTATGTGTAAGGGGACAATATGTAAATAAGAAATTAAAATGTTATACAAAGTAGCTTTTAAAATTATTTTCCAATATCTGGGCAGATGGAAATTAATGTCCAGCTGAATATATATTTCTTATTTATCATTTATTGTGTCATTAACCATAATGTTGGAAACCTTGCTTTTAATTCGTAGATTAACAACAATGACAACACAAAAGACATGAGTTCTACTAATCAGGACAATATATACTCAGAGATTATTCTAAATTGTGACCATTGTTTTAAGTGAGCCATAAAATATACTGGTTAAATTCTTTTATAATTTTTTCAGAATTCTGTTTTAAGGTACATGTGCTGGAGTAGACAAAAATATGTTAGATTCCTTGAATCATGAGACTAAGGGCTAAAGACAGAGAAAGATATTCCAATAGGTTCCCTATGCCATTTTGCATACTATACAATGCTTGGATTAATGCTAAATTAATCTTTGTTTGATCTGGTATTATGAAGATAATTTGGTCATTTAAAGGTATAAAGAATCTTGGGTAAATTAATTCAGGTAGTTTATCTCATGGGTTATATTTTATTTATTTAATATTTTGACTTGTATATACAAGAGCTCTCTGTGATATATATTAAAAGGTAAAAATTCTAAACTTCTTTCTTCATTTATTTTGCATGGATACAATGAAAAGTCATTTTGTTTATGTTGATCTGTATTTATTAGAAAGTAATTTTTTAAATAAAATTAGATGATTAATTTTTATTGACAATAAAAGTGTTTTTCATTTATGGTAATACAACAGTTTGTCTTCTTTTATGTCTTTATCCTAAAATATTTCCCACAAAGTATTTTTTTAATTCTTTCAGAGATTATTTAAAAATCATTAAAATCATCTTCTTACTTAAGTAACCACTAACGAAATGTCATATTTTGACTAGGGACAAAAGTAAACAGAAAAAATGAAAAGGATATTACTGAAATTGAAAGCAAATATATCTGAGAAACTCCTGTTTGAATTCTTAGCATGAACAATTACAATTGTTTTGGATTACTAAAAAAGGAAGTTTACTTAATGCTCATAACTTTTTTCCCACTAATTAGTCCTCAAAGAATATGCTATCTCTCCTAAAGGTTATTTCTTTTTTTTTCCTTGTCTTTCCTAGCCATTCCGAAGTGTGATCTGACTTAACCTCAGGTCTAAAGGTTATTTCTGAATGTAACTTATTTTTACTTATAAAAATTTAATGGTATTACATTATAATTTCAAATTATAATTTTCAGTACCATATCCCTCCTTCAAAGGGAAGCAAGAGGATTTCACTGTTCTTGTCTCTTTTCTTCACTGTTAACTTGTTGGAGATAATTGTCTTTTGCATCACTTTGTATGCATATATTGGCAGAACTTCTTACATATAAATATACCACATAATGTCATATACAGGAATCATATTACAAGTGAAGTTAATGGTGGATACTCTATCTCAAGTTCATTTCTCCTTTCCCCACACATAACTCAACTCTCATACTAGGAAAGTTAGTGTTTTAATCTGAGCATGTATTATTCACATGTGTCTCCATGTAAAGAAGAGATTGAAAAAATGCACTGTACAACAACTGTGGCTCATGCCTGTAACCCTAACTACTCAGAAGGTAAATATATGAGGATTGTGGTTCAAAGCTAGCTGGGGCAGGAAAATATATGAGACTTACTTCCAACTAATCACTAAAAAGCCAGAAGTGGAACTGTGGCTCAAGTGGTAGAGGGATAGCTTTGAGGAAAGAGCTCAAGTGGTAAAGGGATAGCCTTCAGGAAAGAGCTCAGGGAGCGCACGCAGGCCATGAATTCAAGCCCCAAGTTTGCAAAAATAAACAAAACTCCTGAAGTTTTATACTAATGAGATCATAGTTGTTTTTATTTCTATACACTTACTCTGCTCAGATACTGTATATTGTGGTAATTTCCCATGCAGCTGCTATAGCATTTTTATGGCTTTTATTTGATATTGTAATTATTTTGTAATTATATTGTACTTATATGGGAAATTAATATTTATGTCGGTAATATATGAGCATTTGAATTTTCTCACCTTACCAGTGGGCACTTTATTTTGTGTATTGTGTATGAAAATTTAGCATTCTTATTTCACTTCTTGGTCATTTTAACTTTTTCAAGTGGAAATTTGATAATTTACATATTTTACTCTCTACTTTTCATTTTTCTTTTTCTTAACTATTTTCACTCATATTTTTTATTTGAGAGATAATTTTTATTTTATATTAGTTGAGAAATAAGTTTCTTTCATATACACAGAAAAATATATTTTGTAATTTAGAGTATGCCTTAGACTTCAGAGGTGCTCATTTTATGTATTAAGATTTTGTAATTTGTCTCCTCCAAATAAGAATGGCTAATAGACACATGAAGAGATATTCAACATCCCATGTAACTGTAACCCCTCCATATATCACCTTTATAATTAAAATTAAAAAAAAGATTTAGTAATTTGTTCTTCATTAAATTCCTTTACTTTAGAATGGATTTCTCTAATTGATATATTACAATATAACCTTTAACATTTTATAATTAAGTTCTGACATAGGAGTAACTTTATTTCTATGTGCATCAATAACAATGTTAGAGCAATTTATTAAATTAGTCTTCCTTTTAATATTTTTGTATTTTATTGAATTTATTATTATTTTATTATTTTCATATCACATTCATGCATATATTTTAAACTATTTCTGAGCACTTTTTTTTGAGACAGAGTCTCAATTCACAATCTTCCCATAACATCCTCCTAAATGAGCTCTTTATTCTTCTGTCCCAACGCCTTGGATTGTTTCTATTCTAACATTTCAGCTAAGTCTATCAATTTTAGTTTGACCAATTAAGGTACTTTCTGGTCCTTACTATTTATGTTTTTGCCCCCTTGGGGAAATTATTTGATTTCCATGATTTTTGAAGAGTTTAAGCAGTTGAAAAAATTGTTAGACTGATTGGGCTGGGAAGGTGGCTCAGTGGTAGAGCACTTGCCTTGCATGCCTGAGGCCCTGGGTTCGATTCCTCAGCACCACATAAACAAAAAGAAAAAAGATGGAAGTGGCACTGTGGCTCAAGTGGTAGAGCGCTAGCCTTGAACTGAAGAGCTGAGGAACAGCGCCCAGGCCCAGAGTTCAGGCCCATGACCGGACCAAAAAAAAAAAAAATTATTAGACTGAAAAGAATTTTCATGTCCCTTTGTCTAAGTATCATTTAAATTATATTATTTTGGAGAACTTTTAAGGGATGTTAAAGTAGAGGAATAAATTATTTAAATTAGAAATTATAGGTATGGCTCATGGTGGAGAGCCAGCCAATGAGCAAAAACTTCAGATACCAAGTTCAAGTCCTGGTCTCATAAAAAAAGAAAATAAAAAATTAAACTATTAAGAATCACTCATTGGGAATTTGTTCATCTCAGAATTCTTTTGTGACTGTTATTCACTTTTTTCCCCTTCTAGTTTAGTGACAATCTTGGTCATCTATGGCTGAGGAAAACCAGACTCTAGTGACTGAGTTTGTGCTCACAGGACTCACAGACCATCCAGGGCTGCAGGTGCCCCTCTTCTTGGTGTTCTTATTCATCTACCTCCTCACCATGGTTGGCAATCTGGGGCTGATTGCGCTCATCTGGAAGGACTCCCACCTTCACACCCCCATGTACTTATTCCTCAGCAGTTTAGCTTTTGCTGACGCGTGCACTTCTTCCTCTGTGACTCCCAAGATGCTTATGAACTTTTTGTCTAAGAACCATGTGATATCCCTAGTTGGGTGTTTCACCCAATTTTATTTTATGGGTTCCAGTGCGACCACAGAATGCTTCCTTCTGGTAGTGATGGCCTATGACCGCTATGTGGCCATATGTAATCCCTTGCTTTATCCAGTGCTGATGTCCAACAGACTTTGTGTCAAGTTTATCGTTGTTACATATTTTGTTGGTCTTATGCATTTAACAATTCATGTAGGTTTATTTGTTAGATTAACTTTCTGCAAATCCAATGTCATTGATTATTATTACTGTGAAATTTTAGAACTGTTCAAGATTTCTTGTACAGATTCTACAGTTAATATGCTAGTCCTTTTAACTTTTTCCACCTGTATACAAGCCTTCACTTTTCTAACAATCCTGGTCTCTTATGCCCATGTCCTCTTGGCCATTCTGAAGAAGAAGTCTGACAAGGGCAGAAGCAAAGCCTTCTCTACCTGCAGTGCTCATCTGCTCTCTGTGACTTTGTTCTATGGCACTCTCTTCCTCATTTATGTTTGTCCTGGTTCTGGACCAGCTGAAGAGAATGAAAAACTATTTTCTTTATTTTACACAATAATAATTCCTCTGCTAAATCCTTTCATTTATAGTTTGAGGAACAAAGAAGTTATAAGTGCCTTGAGAAGATAAATAAATAAATAAATAAATGAATAAATAAATACCCTCAGCGTGTCAAACTATGTCTTATTTGCATTATGTGAAATAAAATCTTGATCCTATGTATTAGCCTGTCCTCTACCATTTTACTGGAATTTCTAGGCACAGGGTATGACATAATATAGCTTTACCTTTTCATTCTTTGCCTATTAGTTTCTAGATTATTTGCTCAATGAACATCTGGTAGTGTTAACCATAAATAGCTTATCAGAAATAATGAGGTCTACTTTATATGGACATAATAACTCAGTATGCTCACCCACAAAGCATAACCATAACATATTTATGACTAAGATTACAACTTTCTTCAATGATGGTTCATATAGCATATATTGAATAATTTTGTAATAGAGGAATATTTGGGGGCATTGAACTTCAGTTTCACAGACCAGCTTTGCTATGATATTACTGTAGTATCAGATTTAGTAGATGCTGAGAGACACAAGGTAAGCACAGTAAATCAGAGATAAGAGAACTGGTTTACTACTTAACTATAAGAGTGTAAAATTATGTTCATGGATTTCTGATATAAATAAATATGCATGCACCTATTTTAGTTGAGCATATCCCTGAGCTGAGATAAATTAGTGTCAGGGATTTACATTTTGTATTTAACAAGAATCATACAGAGATGGTTCTGTATTTTATATAACAACATGGCTAACTTCTTGTTGTAGTGAACCAATTACATTCCCACAGCAATTACTTAGGAAAAATAATTATGCAAAAATGTTACATTTGGAGATGAAGGAAATGGCAGAGGTGCAGCTAGAATCTTACCAAGCTCTGATGTAGAAACCAGGTTTAGTGTTCCAGTGAAAAACCCAAGGCTAGCTACTCACACCAAGTGTGCCCTCATAGTACAGAGAATTTGGCCAGAGAGGAAATATTAAGGTAGCTTGTTTAAGAAGGCCAGAGAGGAAATATTAAGGTAGCTTGTTTAAGAAGGCAGATTCGAGCACTCGCTGGTAGCCCGGGCGGCAGCAGTGGCTGTATTTCAGAGGCTGCCACTACCGCCATATCAACAGACAGAACCGGGGACAAAGGCACCGAAGATGGAGCGAGAGGGGCTTCTACTCACTGAAAGCACAAACTGACAGGAGCAGAAATTTTCATCCTGCTGACCACAGATAGATGCAGACTACAGACGGCCCAAAATCCAAGGGAAAGGTGCTCTAGTTATCTTCCCTCTCTTCCTTTCTCATTGCTCTAATCGTATTTTCTCCTCACAATTCTCCCTATATCTATTAATTTCTGGTCCCCTGACTCCTTTGATTTTCTTAGTCCATTGACCCCCTAATTTTCTGTTGTTGAACTAGATTGTTATCTATACTTATTTTGACTGTGTGAAAAAAATCTGTGGGACTACAGAGCTCTTGGTTGATGCTTGCTTTAAAATCGTGTTCTAGCTCACATTGGTTTTGCTTTCATACCCAAATGGGCAAAATGAGCTGTAGAAACATAAGAAAAATGGCAAGTCAAGCATTATCTCCCCCTCATGATAAACAGGCAACAGAACAGTTAATAAATAATCCAGAGGAGAGTCCTCAAAATGCTCTACAAACCCTATGGTAAACATGGTGAATGAAAAGATTGAAAGCCAGCAAAGTGCTTTTTGTGACCATGATAGGACAATATGTAAGAGTGACGAAGCTAACCAAACATCAATAGAGGAATTGCATGAGCGTGAAAAGGCTAAGCAAAGATCAATAGAGAAATTGTATGAACGAAATGAGAATAAACAAAGATTAATAGAGGGGTTCATGGACTCCACAAACAGAAAGCTGGAGGAATCCATGGAGGCCACAAGCAAATTTAATGAATTCCAAAAGAAGGAACAAGAGTCCAATGAAAATACAACCACTCAACTAAGGGATTTGAGAGTGACCACTGAAAACCAAATCAAACAGGTAAAGAAGTCAGTACAAGATCTAAAACAAAGCTCCAACAAAGAAATTGAAGCCATCAAATCTGACCAATTGGAAGGAAAGGAAATAAAAAACAAAGTCGGATGTCTTTACAGTAAGTTAGACCATGCAGAAGATCGAATCTATGGAATTGAAGATAGCCTAGACATTACAGAAAAAGAACAGAAAAGTATGCAAGAGAAATCCAAGAAATATGACAGATCCATTCAACACCATTAGAAGGCCTAATAAAGGCTAATGGGTATAAAGGAGAGTCTAGAGACAGAAGCTAAAGGCTAGAAAATTTATTTAACAGAATTGTAGAAGAGAACTTTCCAAATATACAAAAAGATAGGCCCATTCAGATACAGAAATCCTTAGAACCCCAAATAGCCCAGACCAGAACAGGACATCCCACAGCCACATCATAATCTGCTTTTTTGTTCAAGGCTGACACACTGTACCACTTGAGCCACAGCTTCACTTTTGGCTTAATAGACTTCATTTATACACTCTGCTTTGTAATGCAGTCACAAGTCATTCTGTGCATCAGAAAAATTAAGTATAGATTAAAATCAGGAGGCTGAGATCTGAAGATTGCGGTTCAAAGCCAGCCCGGGCAGAAAAGACCGTGTGACTCTTATCTCCAATAAACCACTCAGAAACCGGAAGTAGCTCTGTGGCTCAAGTGGTAGAATACTAGCCTTGCACCAAAGACCTGAGAGACAGTATCCAGACCCAGAGTTCAACTCCCATGAACAACAACAACAACAATAACAAAAATATGCAGGTTAAGACACTTTTAGTCAGGAACAATAGATTTTCAAATTAGAGGAAGTTAAAATACTGTCAGTGTTCCACTACAAAGAAAGAGAAATGCTCTTTTTAAATATATAAAACTGTAAAAGGTATGTGTAGCTGCAATATTCTTTTGATATATCCAAGATTAATTGAACTGGGTATTTGGACAATGGCACAGATTACAGTGAACACTAGAAACTCTTTGAAATACCCAATTCAAAGGAAAACTAGCCACTCTGAAATCATTCATTTTTTTTAGGGTATTGAACCAATGTTCTCTCTATGAATTTTAGTTTCTGCCATTTGTGTCTGAGGCTACCGTCTATCCCCTGACAACAAATCTCCAAGACTCAGGAAAATGTTTCTCTCTTCGATCACTTGGCAGGAAATTAATTTCTTGAATGAATATTGGTGCTAACATAAAAACCGAAGACTGTGGGGAAATCAGATATAAAACTTTGCAAGAATAAAACAAATAAAAGCAGCCACTGAGCAGGAAAAACAAACAAATGAAAAACCAAAGAATATTTGTCAACACCAGCTCAGTGAAGTCTGCTGTGAGCTCTGATGAAGTCTCACAAATTTCACCTACTCAACCAGATCATCCATTGTTGAAGGAGAAATACGTGTGCTTAATATTTTTGTATGGAATATGATTCCAAAATTCTCATTGGTCTCTTTTCTTTGGTTTCCCCTTCTCAAAGTCCAAATCTATGGAAGGTTAGTTTGACCAAAACTAAGATTAAGATCCCTAACTATGAAAGAGTAACTGAGTATCTTGCTGTAAATGGGTATTGTCTCTGTCACTAAGGTGGACATAATAGCTTGCTGCCACTTTATAGCCTATGTTTAAATGATATTTTGAAAAGAGGTATACAATTTAACCTAAGTTACACTTCAGAATTGTGATGCTCCAACATCTGTTTTCCATGTGCTGGGATTATAAACATGAATATGCATACTCAAATTATAACTTACTTGTGTTCTTTCTACTTTATTTCTCTTCTACTTTTGACACTTTTTATGGTATAAAAGATATATTATTGTTCTTTACATTATCATGGTAACTCCTGAATTATTATTTTGTTAATAGTATTATCTAAATGCTTGTCACTTAAATATTCTGAATTGGAAATTCTGAAGATGTAACTTCAACATATCTCTTTCACAAACCCCTCTCTTTGCATATGATATCACATAAGCTCCAATGATTCTACTCCATGAATCTTTTGATTTAGTTTCTTTGTCATTTTTCTAGAAGCATCTTTTCACACAGGGATTAGGTACTTTGCATGAAAGTGAATCACTTTCATATTTTAAAATACTCATTTTTTAGAACTTTCTGAAAGTATGATGTCTAGTTCTACAGTATCTTGTCACTTTAAATTTTGGTGCAGATTTTTTATTTCATTATATCCTTAAGTTTTACAAAGGAGTTTCAATCCAACATATCAAGGCTTCTTGAGCGATGTCACCCATCCTTCCCTATCCTACACATTCCCTCAATTTCTCTAGCTTATTTGATACATTTTCTGGTTTGTGAGCTTTGAAAAATGGAACCAGTTTCTTAATTAATGCAAGAACATATATTAATGCAAGAATAACCCTCTTTCTCCTCCTTAAAGCCAATTTTTATTAAGAACAATTATGTAAATGATAGTTCATATGGAATGATTTATCTAAAGGGCTTACAGCGTGACCTTTGTATGACAAAAATCAAGCTCTTTTGCATAGCTTTCAACTAATTTTAGAGCCCTAGACTTAAGAAAGATCATTTTCTTGACTGTGTCTGTGTCAGACTCAGGATAAATTTTGCAATTTACTTGCAATAATTTTTATTTTTATTTCTAAATATTTAAACAACTGAAATTTAATTTTCTTTCAACATTCCCAAAAGTTTCATTTTTTAAATTTTTTGTATGTTTTTTATTGTGAAAATGCTGTAAAGAGGGGTTACAGTTACATGAGCAAGGTAATGAGTCCATTTCCTATTGAGCATTGTTGCCTCCTCCTTTGTTCTTTCACTTTGTTTACTTTGTGCCAATAGCTTCCATGAATGAGAGAAAACATGTGACATTTATTTTTGTGAGACTGGTTTATTTCACTTATGATGTCTAATTCTATCTACTTTCCAGCAAGTGACATAATTTCATTCTTTATGGCTGAGGGAAACTTCATTTTACACACATACACACATAGATATATGTATATCTATATCTATAGGTATAGATATCCATCTATAAATATCACAAATTCCTTTATCCA